AGAATTACTCATTTTTGAAAGTTGCCCTTCTATTCAGCCACTTTACTGAGCTATTTTTATTAATTAGCATAATTATCCATTTTCATTCTTCTGAAGCTTTTTAGGAAGACAGTTATATTTGCTGCAGACTCTTCTTCATTTTAATGACTGGGACATTCCAGTGAATTGTCTATTTCTGTAAATGTTGTATAGCTATTTAAAAAGAACATGTGGGGAATCCTCACATTGTTCTTACCCTTTTCTAGTAAAAATTCTTAGCAACCTTATAATACAACAATCTGAGTCTGATTTCTTTCTTCTTCTGAAACAGCATTTTTTCATTTTTTTCCCTAGAGTTCTCTTGAGTCTCATTTGTTTAATCTTAGGTTTATGAGTGCTGAGCCATCAGTATAAAATTGGTTTGCAAACAAACAGAAAGCAAAGCAATATATTTTACTACCTTGACTTGCGTGGTCATATGCCACTCCTTTTGAGCACTGCCTTATTACCATTTCTGTTCCCAGGAGCTGGAGAGTATCTGAAAGCCAACATCAATGCTGGGTGCCAGGCCCTCTGTCATCATTAATAAACAGTCACTGGCAGGGGTTCACGTTTTCTGCTCTCTGAGTGACATGTTTGCAAATTTGAAAATGCTGAGAACATTAAGCGCCAGTTGGATGGCTATGTGATGGTTGTGTCACCTCACCAGATCCCTCCCACTGCCTCTTGGTGGCAGACAGTGGGGAACAGGAAGAGAGAGGCCTCTGTTCCTAATCATGCCTCTGCCTGCCTGCCTTGCCTCACTTGCTGGTCCTGTGGGGCCCTGGCGGCAAGCTCTGAATGATACCCTGGATTTGTGTTGCTCAGCAGTTTCACTTACTAGCTGTACAGTATCCTTTTCTGAACAAAGTTACTAGAAACCTTCCTGAAACATGAGTCACCTTGACCTCCTAATCCAAGTTATCCTCTTCTCTGTGGTGGATAACTCTGTAGTAACCTGAGTTGTCTCCATGTATCCACACTGGCCCCCTCCAACAAGAGGCCTTTACAGCCATAATAATCTTTTAAAACTGCACTTAAATCATGTTAGTCCTCCCCTCAAACAACCCCTCAAAACAACCACTCTTGACTATTTCCTACCAATCTTGAATAAAGATTAAAATTCTCACCCTTACCTAATTTCTCACTCATCTCAGGCCATTCTGCTGCCCACTCTCTGGGTCTCAGCCATATTGGCCTTCTTTAGGTCTTAAACATGTTGTGCTCCACTCCATGGTAAGGTTTTTGCACTTACTGCTTCCTCTGATATGTGCCTCTCCTCATTCCCCACACACCCACTCTGCCCACAAGCCAGGAAAGTTTCTACTGGTTGTACAGACCTCAGTCCAGACATACATGCTGCAGGGAACCCTTCCCTATACTCCGGCCTGGTTAAAGTCCCCTTGTATGGGTTTCCACGGCCCATGCTCCTCTCCCTTATAGCATTTCTATAAAATTTGCATTTATTTGGATGGGCTTAAAAATATTAAAATCTCTCATCTCTACTAAACTGTGAGCTCCATGAAAGCAAAGACCATGTCTTGCTTTTGTTTACCAGATCTCTCTAGTGCCTAGCATCAGACTCAGTGACGAGTTACGTGTGCAGATTTGTTCAATGAAAAAATACAGAAATGATTTGAGGCAGCTCACTCCCTGATGTACTCTTGAATATGGTTTTCATCTCCACATAGTAAATGTTTTATTTCTTCCTTATTAGCAGTAAGGGGGGATCATACTTTGTATACCAGATAGGGTAATACCTTTTTATTTCAAAGATTTTACTTAAAAAAATAAAACATTATTTAGAAAAATGTCCTCTATTCATCTTATCTTTCAAAAAGAAAATTTGGAAACAATGAAAGAAAGCAACATTCATCCAACCTTTGCCTATTTGAAACCCAACTGTGACAATGCACGAACACCTGGGTGTGGAAAGGAATGTGAACTGCAAAATATCCGAAGGCCGGCAGCCCTGACCCATCTGAGAAGAAGCAGAGGCAGGAAGACAACTAACAGAAGAACCGCATTAATTTAAGAAGTGGAAAAGCTTATTGGAAGCATTCTTCAAAACCCTTCAGAAGCTAGGAAAATAGTATTTGACCATATTTTCTCCAGCTCTTAAAAACCTCACAAATGCAAATACGTGATAAAATGTGAAAATAAGTATTGGCAACTAATTATATTCTCAGGGGAGATTTAATTGAAAAAATGAGCATATTTGCACTACTTCTCCTCAGTAAGATGTTTATGGCATTTGGTCAAAGTAGAGCAAACTTTTGAAAATCTTTTGACGTAGCTGGTATTTAAAGAAAAGCAATTGGCTAACATTGGTGGCTCTGTATGTTGAATATTTTGGCTCCCCATCCTCTGGTATTCATTCTGAAAGATTTATAACCCTTTAGGGAGTGTGGTCAGTGACAAGAGTAGGACTAAATCCTGAAATGTGGAAAAACTAACTTTCTCTAATATAAAACTATTCTTAAAAAATCCCTCAAGCCTATGAATATGTTTCCAGATTTTCAGAAAAAGCTGATTTACAGAATTTTTTTTCTATAAGGATCTAACTCTCTAATGATACATGTAAATTTTCCATCCTTTGGCTTTACAACTGACCTTAGAAATAATTCAGAAAAACATAAAATCCTACCTTTTGGACATCTGCTGCAATTACATGACTTTTAAAAAATTTATGTTGATGTGTGGATAGTGAAATAAGAGCACAAATGGTGGAAATAGTCTAGAGAAAAAAATTAAGAGAACTTGAAATAGGAAACAATGGTTGTGCTGAGTGTATAAGTAGAAAATTGCTACAAAAGAAAATATAATGTGAGAATAGAGGTCAACAAGGTCTTCAGTCATGCACAACTGAGAATGTCCGGACAGTACATTCTTCTTCAGGGAGTCGGACAGGGTGGGCAGACTCTCTTGGCTTGACAAAAGCATGACATGCTGTTTGGCATCTCCTCACCTAGTCACGCTAAAGTCTGAAGCCACTGCCTACACAACTCTCTCTACCTGAAGCTCTTAGTTTGCATTTTGAGACTTTCAATGTTGGAACCCAGCTGTTCCTTCAGGTACCCCAGGGGAACTTTCTGGCTCCACTTAACCCTTTAAATTCAGAAATACAGAGGCCTGTGTAATGAATTATTTTTCTAATTTTCTCTGCTTTTCCTTTTTCTACATGACTTTCTTTAGTTATGGTTAGCATTTAGATTCTTCTTTATGGCTTACAAAATATCTGCCTTTTGTTTTTCTAAATGAGGCAGCAGAAGTGCTAGCCTAGCACTTAGGGGTCCTGTGACCCCAAAACAAGGGAATGTATGAAATTGACAGTAATGAATCGAAGATTTATTATTTTGTTTTAAAACCAACTGTAAGAAAGTTGGTAGTGTTGTTTCTCTTATTAGCAAATAAACGATACAAAGAGCTATAAGAACAAAACTTATTATTTTAAATGTCAATAATAAAATTAAGGCTTATGTCATTCTAAACTTAATCTCAAATATAGAGGACAGCTTATATTCCCCAGAAGGAAAATCACTATGAAAAACGGAAACTGTCAGTGGTGTCACCGCAGGGTTAGTGCTTCATAACATTTTTAGAGACATGGAGGGAATTTTCTGGAGAGGAGTAAGAGGAAAGGCTGAAGTCCAAACAGTTCCATCTGCACTTTTTGATCCTCATCCTTTAGTGATCCTATTTCGGTTTCTTATTTTAAAAGTAACATATTGTGTTGAATTCACAGAGGGGGTTTGCGTATGTGCATGCATGTGATAATGAAGGGCGGATGGGACAGTTGGAATATAAATTCCATTCTTTGTGCTAAGTTTATATATTCTATATATGTACATCTGTGCAGAATAGATATGGCAACAAAGTGGTGATCAGCAAATTAAAATAACCTTAATTTGTAGCTGTGTTTCCTAAAAAAAAAAAAAGGATTTATTTGAGTCCATTGGTACTATTTTGGAGTAAAAATCCAATGCTGTCTTTTATGAGCACCATTTACAGAAATAGTTTATTGTTATCTCCATTAGAAATATTGCTTTTGTGTCTTAGAAACTGTTTCAATGATTATCCTGAAACTCATATATGCCAATAGTTTTTAATAGTAATAGAAGTAATATGTATCATGCAGTGTTCTTTAGAAGATTTTTCTAAGCATTAATGATCAATCAGTAGACATTGCTTAAGAATTTTAATTTCCTGACAGGTCTGTTTCACTGACCAATTAGTACCCTTTTTTTTGAAAGCTCTAGAGTATTTTATCTTGAAGGAACAGTCCCCCACTGCTCTTCACACGTGGGGATCAGTTAAGCAGACACTGATCTGCACGTTGGGCCAGCCATTTCACTCAAGACAGAGAAACATTTTTCTCCTCCCCTCACCCACCAGGTCATCTCCAGTTCCTGACAGGATTGCGTCCTCACTCCCAACCTCACAGCCCTTATTCCACTTGATATAGATTTTTGTGTTGCCTGCTACGTGGCTTCCCTTTCTCCAGGTGGCTTCCCTTTCTCCAGGTTTTTTTTTTTTTTTTTCCTGTTCCAGACTGTTCTATGTACATCTGTAAGAATAATTTTCAGACGTGGTTTGCACTCCATAGTACACTGCTCAAGAACTACAGGGACTGCCTATTACTTCTACATCAAACTCATTCCTCAGCCGATCTCTCAAGCCTGGCTGCTTGACTCTAATATACTACATACTGCCTAATGCTGTAGCCATTTAAAGCAGAAAGACCACCTTTAAATGTTGACTCTTAATTGGAGTAATGTTTTACAACACTCTGTAAAGCTTTTTCGTGCTTCAGCTCTAATGGTTCATTTAACAAATTATAACTCACTCAGACAACTTAAAAAAACTTAATGTGCCATGTATGGGGAGGCATATTTCCCAGTTCATGGATTTATGAACCATTTAGTAAATTTCTTTGGGAGTGTGATCTTAATCAACCTTTCTATGGCATTGCATCCTTGTAGGGAGGAAATCAGACAGCTACAGTGATTGCACTGTGTTCAATGAAGGATTTCAACTTAGCACAAGAGACCTGCCAGTTGGCAATCAAGGACGTTGGAGGCCTTGAAGTTTTAATAAATTTACTTGATACAGATGAAGTCAAATGTAAGGTGAGTGGCTTTGTCAAAGGGGTGCGGAACCCTGTCCATGCCTTCTCGTGATTCTCTTCATGGTGCTGTGTCTGCTACTCTTCTGCTGTTGCCTCATCTGCTGCTGTTACTGAAAACCTGCCACTTCCACTGTTTGCCGCTCTTCTCGCCTCTCCGCTTTCCTTATTTCTCATCAGCTCTTTTCCAGTATATGTGCTGCTTAAAGATGAAAGTTTGCTTACATAACTGAAGGAAACTATGGAGGATATGTGTAATACCTGGGAAGAGAAACTATTTCTTTAAAAAACTTAATTGGGGAAGGATTTTAGGTAGACTTGGAATTTTTAAAAATATATAGCCTCCGTTATGCATTAAACACTCATGCACCTGTAACTTCTTTTCTCATTTAGATTGGTTCATTAAAAATCCTGAAGGAAATCAGTCATAATCCTCAAATCAGACGTAATATTGTTGACCTTGGTGGCTTACCAATTATGGTTAATATACTTGATTCTCCACATAAGAGTCTGAAATGTTTGGCGGCTGAGACAATTGCGAACGTTGCCAAGTTGAGAAGAGCCCGGCGAGTGGTGAGACACCACGGGGGTGTCACCAAACTGGTGAGTGCCACCGGCTGCGTCCTTGGCACAGCGCTGCCGCCAGCACATCTACTCCCGGCTGCCTTCGTGGTTTCTCCCGGACATAAACTAACCATAGCGGGTGTTCTGGGAATCTTCTTTTTGTATAACCTGTCCTTAAAAGTTATTTTTGTACATCTGCATTAGCAGTGACCAAGAAGCCGTTCAACTTCATTTTTCAAAGAAACAGACATTTTAGATGTAACCTGAGGCACTGATACAGAGGCATTCGTGTGTGTGTGTGTGTGTGTGTGTGTGTGCAGTGTCAGTAGGGGGTGGGTCCTGCGCAGCGGAGGTGGTCTGGTGACCTGCGTCCTCTGATGTGGCGACCTCACCGCGAGGACTGTCCCCCAAGGGCACGGAGATGCGGATGCGTGTTCCTCCCCCTGCCACAGGAGTGGCGACTGAAAACGGTGGGATTACAATATGAGATCAAATAGTTTGCAGTATATCTGTGAGAAATGGGTATAGTCAGCTATCAGTACTATGTTTTGGAGGTCTATTTGGTAATGAGGATTAAATGTTAATTTTATATAAAACCATAATAGGTTTAAAAACTGATGATACCTATGATCCCAATTTTTAACCTACCTAGCAAGTGTAGAGAAATACTTGAAATAAATACACAGAATTGTTTGCAGAGGTTTTCTCTGATATGGTTACCAATTTTTCTTCCCATTTTTCTACATTTGCCAATTTGTTGTATAACTATTACTTTTATAATAAAATATGGTTATATAAATAACTATCACTGAGCGAGAAAAGTAAGCATTCTGCTCAACACTTGGCACAGCAGGGTAATGAAGTACAATATGGAAATGCATTTCCATCCTCCTTAGTGTGGGTCAATAGCTCTTGTGTCTCTCCCACAGCTTTTATTGCTGGATTGCTTTCACTTCTGTACTTTCAGTACCTTATGATGAGAGACACATCTAATTATTCTTAGTGTCATCCACAGCACACCAGCCCAGTGCCTTGCACATATAAAGAGTCAATAAATCATCTATTGAATTAAATGGATTTCATGTGAATACATATACAGTGAGCTGTGTTCTGAATTTACTAAAAGAGGTTCTGTGCACACGTGTTCCTTGATTTACAAATTGTAAGTTAAGGCTGTTGTCAACCAGAAATGCATTTAATGCACCTACCCTACCAGCCATCATAGCTTAGCCTGGCCTACCTTAAATGTGCCTAAAGCACTTATATTAGCCTCCAGTTGGGCAGAATCATCTAACACAAAGCCTAACACACCGTGTTGAATATTTCATATAATTTATTGAATGCTGCACTGAGAGTGAACAACAGAATGGTTGTGTGGGTATAGAATGGTTGTCAGCATCTTGGTTTTCACCCTGTGATCGTGTGGCTGGGAGCTGCAGCTCACTGCTGCTGCCCAGCATCCTAACAGAGGATTGTACGCTTACCACTAGCTGGGGAACAGATCAAAATTTGAAATTCAAAGTACAGTTCTACTGAATGCCTGCTGTTTTTACACCAACAAAAAGTAAAAAAAAGCAGAAGCTGGACCATTGTGAGTCAGGGACTGTCTGTATACACTTGCAGTCTGTAGAGCACTATAACATGTAATTGTTTGTTTCTAAAATAACATGGATTTATGGCTGGATAGAATAGATGGTTAACTATGTAGTGAACAAATATGGCAGAATGTTAATTACAGAATCTGGGTGGTGGAAATATGATATTTGCTGTATATACAACTGCTATACAAATTCTTTCAACTTTTGTGTATGTATGGAAAATTTCACAATAAAACATCAGGGGAAAAGTAATTATTACAATGATCATCATTCTGCTTAAATAATGGAATCATATGTAGGCTGATAGGCTGCCCACTGAAACTACTCCCATTAAATTATATGAATGATGGAACATAAAGCTAAAGCTTTCATGTGAGTCTTACGTATCATGTTTGGGGACCTAGAATTAGAACAGTTGCACCAACTGCATCAAGACAATGACACACATTTTAATACTTAATATAATTTTAAATGACAGCTAAATTAGGAATAGGAAAGGCCAACAGTGGAGAAACCAGTAATAGACTTGTAATTGCTGGGATGAGAATCCATCTGCCAAGGATGAGGACTGAGGATCCAGTTTTGGTGTGCTCAATCTGCAAGTAGGTGACATACAAGCCAGAGTTTTCAGCTAAAACTGAAAATGAAGGAGCTCACTCAATACAAAGAGGAAGCAATAGGCTGGCTATGACATCAGAGCAAGGGGACTGAGGTCAAGATCAGAACAGGCAGGCGACCCTGGCCACAGAAGGGTTTGAGCACCCAATGGAAGTCAGTCTCTGGAGAGCCACACTTGACCAAAGACTGGGCAAAAGATGTAAGTCTCACGAGCAGGGAGAATGAACCAGGCAGAGAAATACTATAAATGTAGTGCTGTTAGTCCTATGGCTAGTTTCCATGTGTGTCTTTATGTAATGTACTTGACCCTTTCACTGAAAACCATTTCAAACATTTTTGAAATGTTTGTCAGGTACAGACCTAGGTGGTGGGAATATAAATA